GACTTATAGGGAGTCCGCCCTCTTCTTCTCTTATTATGCAAATTGAGGGTAAAAACACCCAAACTCAGTCTACAAGGATGTCACAGCCCACCAACAACAACATACATAAGAGCCATCAACAATAGAGAAGGAAAATCAGGATTATCACCCAAAAACGCAGCGTCGCACCAGCTGCGATTACAGAAGATCCGTAGCTCCGATTAATGTGAAACTTGAACAGATTGAAGCCCAAAGTGTTGGGAACAACCTCTGAAAATTTCAGCTCAATCCAACGGTCGGATCTCCGGCGATGATCGAATTTGTGCGGCTGGTCTGTAAATTCTCATGGACTGGGGTGGAAGCCCGCCCGCCCAATTTGTAATTCTTGGACCGGCGTTTCCTGCAACTCGGACCGAAATCGGGTAACCGGGCTCCGACTGCCCGGCTTGGGACTCTGCGGTTCGATACTGAAAAACACAACAATCGGAAGACTGGATGCGCTCGAGACGCTACACCTCGAGAACAACTTCCTGACCGGGCCCATACTGCCCGGTCTCGACCTCCTTCCAAGCCTTAAGAGCTTGAACTTAAGCAACAACGGTTTCAGTGGGCCCATCACGCCGTCTCTCCTAAAAAGGTTTCCTCCTTCATCGTTCGGAGGAAACCCTTTGCTAGCGACTAGCGGGCTGCCCCAACGGGGAGTATCAATCCCCCGGTTGTTGTCATCATCATTGTCAAAGGGATCAAGGGATTCAAAGAATAAGAGATCTGAGCCTGTGGGAAATGACAAGTTCCCATGGTTTGGCTACCTGCTTGCTATAGTGGTTGCGGTAGTTTATCTTGGTTGCCTATGGTAATAAGCCCATAGGTTCAAATTTAAATTTACCAGTTGTACTTGTATTTGTATTACTCTTTTGTATCCCTAATAGATGGAAAAACTATGTTAAATAATTCCACCTTTTAACGTTTTTTCCAAAAATAATCTCACTTTTCACTATTGCCGAAAATAATCACACATTTTCGCATGTATACAAGTTTTGGATCGCCGTTAAAAAACTAAGGACTGCATAACGAAAGTTTTAGAAAATGCATGTTTTTTTGCAAATAAATGTAGAGTGAGATTATTTTGGGCAAATTTACTTTTCATTTTTTAATTTTAAATTTAAAATTAATATTTTTAAAAATATAACAGTACACTCTTGTTAGAGATTTGTCTAACAATTTACAAATTTTTTTCTGTTCTGGAAAAATATAATATTGAATTATCAAAAATAATTCAGAGCATCGATCAAAAAAGAAATTGCAATACAAAAAAAATTGTAGTGAGTTACAAAATTTATTAGTGGTGTTTCGTAGAAAAAATATTGTTCCATTTTCACAACTTTTGAGTTACTATTTTGGGGAAAAAATGTATTGAATTATCAAAAAAAATCACAAATTGGGTAGTTCCATTTTAGAAAAAAAAAGGCAATAGAAGATTATCAATAAATATTTCGGAGTATTGTTCATTAAAAATTGAAATACAACAGAAAATATAGTGAGTTATAAAAATAAAAGTTCTATTTCAGAGAAAAAATTATTGTGTTATTTTCACAACTATTATAATGTTATTTTGCAAAAAATATTTATATAGAACTATCGAAAAATATTCATAAGTTTTGTATTGCCATTTCTTAAGAAATAATAGTAATATAGTATCAAAAAACAATTCGAAGTGCCGCTCAAGAAAAATAATTGCAACTTACAAATAAATGTAGTTAATTATGAAGTAAATAAATTAGCTCTATTGTTTAGAATAATTTATTTTCTAATTATTACCGGTTTATTAATTATTGAAAAAAATAGATTTACTCTAAAAACACTTAAATTTGGTATTATTTTTCCAAAAAATAAAAATACATTTAATTCTAAAGTTAGAAATTAAAAAAACAAAAAAGATAGAATTTACCTAAAATAATCACACCTTTCATTTATTTGTGAAAAACGAGATTTTTTCAAAAATTGCGTTAAGTGACCGTTAGTTTTTTAACAGCGACCCAAAACTCACACACATGCGGAAATGCGGGATTATATTTTACACTACCAATTCCAAGTTCACATATTTTTGTATTATCAAAATGCAAGATTGAAATTATAGTTCCCAATTCAATTTCATAGCTTAAATTTTGTATACCAAATGAAGCCTAAAGTGTCGATTTCATATTGTATCTAGGTAGTGATGTACTCAATTCATCTTAGTATATTAAAAGAATTTAAAAGTAGACGAATTTAATCATCAATTACTCTCTACTTATATTGCATTTTAAAAGAATCAAATAAAATTATGCATGTTCTCAACAATTTAAACACTATAAAATACGGACTAGTTTGTATACTAATACATATTATAATTTTCATTAAATTGAAAAGATGATGCTTGTTTGACATTCAAATACTTAAATTTAAAAATGTCATATTGTCAAAACAATGAGCATCTAACAATATTAGGTGTTTTAAAGTTGGGCATTCCTGTGCGAGTGCACATCTTGCACACCCTCAGGATCAGCCCTATACGAAGATTAAAACCTACATTAATATAAACAAATATTAAGTCTACATTATTTACATTTTTAATGCTTTCCAAAATTTATAACAAACAATTATTTAAGAATGGATAGATTATAATATAGTATGAATCAATGTCAAAGATATTATGGTCGATTGGTATCACTGTGACTTTCAAAATAGCGTGTTAAATGTTCAAACTCCAATGCGATGTTGATTTTTTGTTCTGCTATAGGTTGAAAAAGTATGTTGGACAGATAATATATTGTAGTAATATTCTTTTAAAAAAATATAATATATGAATCATTTACATTAAAGTCAATAACTTTGAAAACTAATCTACAAATTACCATTTAAGTGAATATGGGGCTTAAATGAAGCCAAAAGTCAAGAAGAATAATTTACTTCAACACAATTTCGGGCTTTTGCTCCCTCTCAAACTCTCACGGCCCCTAATCTACTTTGTCCTCCCCGCGTAGCTTGAGCTAGGAATGCCAATTGCCAAACGCAGTAAATATAAATTTGATTTCTGACAACTACATTGGGAGATAATTACAGGGCTGGCCTTGAAAAATAAAAAATTGAAATTGGTCTGGTCCGAAATTTACATTTTGGGCCCAATTTTATTATTTTAAAATATTTATGCTTTAAAATTAATGATGAATTTAAAAATATGGGGCCCTAAAATTTTAAGGACCCTGTGCGGTTGGCCACTTTGCACACCCTTTGGGCCACCCATGGATAATTATATTAAGCATAAAGCTTCTGCAAATATTAGGTGCTGGCTCCACACTTTGTTAGTCAATCGATCAATTCTGAAAAAGCCATCGAAGATGAGACTCATCAATTTTTTTTAATAAGTTTGTCCCCTACAAATTAAATCCCCCACTAATTTCATTTCTTGGACATCATTCTATTGTAAATATTTCATGTTTTCAATCATTAGATGTCTCATACAAAAACAAATCAAGGAATATTGCTCTTTAGTGTGGTTAGGAATAAAATCAAGCTAAGACAATGAAGACATTAGAATCATTGGAAATCCCAGATTGTGTTAGGCCCCCCTACTGCAAACAAATGGAAAGGAAAGAAAAAGAGCACACAAAATATTTAACGTGGTTCGGCACCTCAAGACCTACTTCACGACCCCATCTGGGATAAAATCTCACTAGTAATTTTTGCACGGAAAAATTATAAACCCTCTCCAATATTTGACACTCATAACCTAAAATCTAATACAATTATATAGATTGAAGGATTGTGTTGTGTGTTGGAAGCCTATATACCCTCTCTATTTATAGGCTCCAATCCCTTCTCAATTTTCCTATCCCACCGATGTGGGACTTTGAAGTAACACTCAACAAATCTCCCCTTAATTCAAAATCCTACATTTGCGATTTCTGCAGCGATACTCCCATCCTACAGAATTTTCTGTCCAGCAGTACTCTTATCTTCAGAAGAGATCATCTGTAACACCCCAATCCGTATAACCCGGAATTACACGAATTAAGGTGAAACGAGGGTTAATTAAAAATTTCGCTTGACATTTGAAAATGACAATTACTTATAAATATCAAATTTACAGACTCTGGATCGCGACCCATTTAAAAAATATTTTCAGAGTATTGCGGAAGTACAATAATAATCAAATCATGACACATTTAAAAATCTCATAATCAACATTTGCCTGCCATCCTTGCATCTCCTCTGACTCAATGCCCTCCGGGAGTGGTTCCATCATTGTCTTCTTGCTACCTACGTGTAGTCAACGAAAAATACAAACTACACGCTCAGCGAAACCGCTGAGTGGTACCACGCTAGAATTGTAGAATGATTCTCAGACATATACATATACATATATATACGTCCACAAAATGTATAGTAACATTCATGATATGACACATATTATCATATGGTCAATTTGATGAATCATGATGATTGATATTTAATGATAATTACCTGATGGCATATTTAATCAATATAATTATTCTTGATGATGATTACATAACACCTATGTAATCAATATAATTGTTCTTGATGATGATTACATGACACCTATGTAATCAATGTACTTGATGATGATAACATGATTTCACATTTAATCAATTTGATTGTTCTTAAGATGATTACATGACACCTATGTAATCAATGTACTTGATGATGATAACATGATGCATGATTCTAACGAGCAAGGACACCCTTGCGCTATGAGATTCGCCCATTTTGTACGACGAACTTACGCGGCCTTAGTCTCACGAATGAGGTGAGACTAGAAAGATAGGGGTTGTACTCGAAACCTGAATACCATGTACGTACACTAAGCCCGGAACGGGTGATGTCGGACTAGTAAGTCACGCACATCACGCTATAAGAGACGCAATTACGCATGATCTCTTACGCATGCATATGATATGATATGCTAGTATGCTACAATATGTGTGATGAAATGAATGCTATGGCATGAACAATTTATAAACAATATGAATATATAATCATGCATTAGTTTATTTGGATGAAACATGATTAAAATATCATTTAATTAAGCTACGGGGCTCGGAACGGTCGACCGTTTGGCGCGACGGTCGACCTTGATCTTCATCAGGTCGGATTGGCGGATCACCGTGACGATCGACCGTTGTTGACTGGTTGTGGATGGCGGACTTCGGCTGGTTGGCGGCGGTCGACCGTTCACCGACGGCGGTCGACCGTTCTACTAACAGTCGTGGTCCGTTTCGAAGTTTAATACAATGGTCGACCGTTTGCGTCAACCGTTTGGGTCTGCGACTCTTTCTCTTGATATTTTGAGTGTCCAAAATACTTCTTTAAGTCTTTTAAATAACTTTGATTAACATATACATATTGTTGGGTTGATTTCCAAAGTTTATATTTACTTATGTGTATATTAACTTTATGGATTTGGTGTATTTTGATCTCAACATATAGATGACTTATATATGCATCACATATATATTTTGGGATGATTTCAACATATTGATTAATATATATGTTCATGTATGTATGTGATGAATGATTCGACAAGTCTAACGCAAGGGTACAGACCTGGAAATCATCGGTCGAAACCTTACGGATGAACGGGAGTGGAAACAACATCGAAATTTACCAACTTTGTCAATCTCGTCACAATTGGACAGCCTGCGGTATTTTGGGCATCTCTCCATCGTTTCTTCACGGAATCACAAACCGTTTGATTCTGCGGATTCCTAAGATGTAAGGCTATAACTTTCGTATAGAAAGTATTTCGAGTTAACAGATGTAAGATAGCGTAAATCGGACCTGAAGTCAAGGGAAAGTTGCTGTCCAGAATTTTGAATATGTCCATTTATACGATTCCGATGATTAACTCATTAACTTCAATATTCCAACACCGAACCTTCTCTACGATATCTTCCGGATGTTCCTGATAATTGTTAGAGAGTTTATGATAAGTATTTGGAATGGAACAACATGAATATGGTGAAGAAACATGGTTCAACCCGAGGAGCTCGCCACCACTGGCGCAGTCCCGGTATTTTGGCCATATCTTCTTCGTTACTTAACGAAATGACAAGCCGTTTGTTGGGCTGGATTCGTATCGTCCGGGGCTACAACTTTGGCTCAGAAAGTATTTGGAGATAATGGATGGAAAATTTCAGTTTTTACCTGAAAGTGGACTGATGTGTTTTGGTTTCAGGATTTTGAGACTTTATGATTTTTCTTTTTTGCTTCTTCTTCTTCTTCCTTGAACCAACTATGGAGTTTAAGCTTCCTTTTCTTCTCTGCTTGTTGGTTTATACGAGAGAGATGGTGAGGAGTGTTGAAACACGGGCTTGTCACGTTTTCGTACTAAAGCCGTGTTCGTTTTTGTAACAGGTTTTGATAATGCCAAACCGCCATGATCAAGTCGAACATTGAATATACAAGGCGAAGAACGAAGATAAGAGCAAGAGCTAAACGAAGACCAAGAACGAAGACCTTAGTCATAGTATTGAATCGGTCTTTATTGTGATCAAGACCGACCCAATCTTTACACCTTGGCTCTTTAGGCTAAAATCTCTCATTTCATTTCTTACATCATAAAAATGTTTTTCAAACTTGTTTAAGTCATTAAAAACACTTGGTGTTCGCCCAAACCAAAAACCAAGCCATCCAATGTTCGGCTTTCAGAAACCAGCGTTCGGCTTTCGGTTGTCGGGTTTGGTTTTTGGCATCCGAACCAACCAAGTGGTTTTCAGCATTTTATGATCTGCTTTCACTCTTTGGCATGTTTAAACGGTTCTCCAACAAAAACACTTTGAAAACCATCTCTCGCTTTTAGTCGTTTGACAAAAACCACGCAAAACGGCGTAAACTTGGCTAGCCGTGGTTTTTACTCAAATGACGTGATTTTTAAAGTGTCTCACTTGATTTCTTAGCCAAATACATCAAATAAGTGTTTTAAACACTTGGTTTTTATTTTGGAGAACTTTGGATTTTTCGGTCGGTTTTTGCATCGGTTGGCTAGGCCGTGGTTAAGGCAAAAACCATAGGTTTTTGGCTAACCACCCACCCAGC